CAGCTGATATTTCTCTCCAGGATGGAGTCACAGCCAAACTAGTTGTCATCCTTATTCCAAATGCAGATAAATTATTCCCCTCCCTCAGGATGTGACACAGAGCAACTTATAAGATGATGTTAAAAACATCTTTAGAACAACATGTCAATGAATAAAACGGTTGTCGCTGATTATTAGCCCCTGAAATTACTTCATATTATACTTTGAAAAGTCTTCCTGTAATTTTCTCTCTAATTAAAACAGAGAATTTAGCCTTTCCTTTCTCTGGGTTTGCTGCATCACTTCCTTTATAAACAGCCTGGTTGTTAAATAGAAGTGACAAACAGATACGTCAGGTTGATGCTTTCTTCCTCTGCTTGGTTTTCTGTAAATCTGTTTTTCTTACTGCTTTGATTTCCCACGTTTCAGTATCAGTGGCATTTGTTCAGGTGGAGAAAAGCGGGTCAGGATAGCACAGCGTGTTTCACTTTTGTACCGGTTGCTTTCAGGTAAAGAAAAACAATCAAATCACCACAAATATGTCAATGAAACCACTTCTATATCAAAACGCCTGTCGGAAAGCTTCCTGTTGCTTCAGGTTAACCTGCCTTTTCCCACTACCAGTGAACGCATCATCAGGGCTGGTTAGTTTGACCAAAGCCGGGCTTTGGTTTGGATCCTGGCGTCTCAAAGGTTTTTTTTTGGCACCTGAGTTTATTTTCTATCTTTAATTCTGCTGTAGAACCGAGGTCTCTTATGTTAAGATGCAGAACCCAACCTTGGCTCTCTGTCGTGGTTCTGAAATGGGGTCTGCTGTCCGTGGTGCTGACGAACGTTTGAACCGCTTTGGTCAGACATGTTTTACAACCAAAGGCTATTAGAGGAGGTCAAAGGGATTTTATCTTTGCTTCTGTGGTCTTTAGGAGCTCAGTGGTCCCGGTACAGGGCCCAACTGACACCTGATCATGTTTATCTATTTGTAAAAATGGCCAAAACACAGTCACATGGTGTTTCATCCACACGCCTTTAAAATTGGGCTTTAAAATTTCTAAAATATGTTTAAAAAATAATTTTTTTCCACAAATACGTTTTGTTTTATAGCCGTGTAAACATAATAAATTGAGATTTAGAATTCAACCTGATGCAGGAGTAATGCAACAGCAGGTGTTCATTTTTAGCCCCGCCCCCTAATGGCCGCCATCATTGGAAACTAGAGGCTCAGACCTTTCCAAGTAGGGGTCGGGGGTCATTGTGTGACCACTTCAGGTGATGTAAACGGCATTCATTACATAAGCTGCTCTGTTATTCTTATTTTCTATTTAGTTTGGTGATATTATTGCTAAATTTCAATGAAACGACGGCTAAATCTTAGGAGCAAATGCTTTTCCTTATGCAGACGGTCCTCAATAATGGAAATCAGTATATTTGTCTGAGCAGATTATGAGTGGAAAATGTGTTTTTGCACTTTTGGCATTTTGCCACTAAAGCCTTTGTGGAACAAACATGATTTAACTTATTCAGTCCAAATTTGCTTGAGTTATAGTCAAGATGTGGATCTATAAGGTCTGAGGGTTTATCCAGAGTTTCAAATGGTGTTTTGCAGGGTTAAATTGGAAAGAAACTTTGGCAAGGCTAAATATTTTTCATTTTTTTCTTTGTTTAATCACCTATAAATCAGAAACGGTGACATTTAAAATAGTGGTTCCACCTGAAAAATATTCAATATCTTTCTGTCACGCAAATACAAACAGTTGTATTTCCAATTTATAGTCTGGGAGCTGAACTTGCTTTAATCCACATATGTAATTTCTGGTGCAATTTCTCCTAGACCTTCTGGGCTTAAGGGGTTAAAGCAGCCATTGGCACATGTGTGACGTGAGATGAAATGACTGAAGGTTCTCTCTCCTGCTGCCAGTTGGAGTCTCTGTGTTTGGAGCCTTCCTGCGCTCTGAATTCAGCGAGGAGAACCTCCAGTTCTACCTGGCCTGTGAGCAGTACAGACACTCCTCCAACAACTTCAGCCTGCAGAGAAGAGCTAAAGACATCTGCGCCACCTACATCCAACGCGGCGCTCCTCGTGAGGTACCCTCCTTGTTCAGCTGGCAAAGCTTCACTCAGCAGGTGAAAACTCATTAATAATGTGGTGTTTTCTTCCAGGTCAACCTGGACAGTAAGACCAGGGACCTGACCCTCCAGCTGCTGCAGGCGCCCTCTCACACCTCTCTGCTCCCAGCTCAGAAGAGGGTCTACTCTTTGCTGGACACCGACTGTTACCCGCGCTTCCTCCAGTCCAGCATCTACCAGTCTCTGCTAAAGGAGGCGGAGTAGATGCCTGTAAAAATAACCAACTACACTTGGCTGCGTGTGAGATTTCCATTATTAACGAATACTGTGAGGAAAGTAATGCATTGATGCCAACCGGACACTGTAAATGTTTTGCACTTAAATCGAGACACTGAAAAAATTCACTTTTTGTTTGAGTTCAGGCAGATTAATAAAGTTTTGTTACCAAAACCTGTTTGGCCTGACTTTAAACTATTAGCTGGAGTACATTCATTGGCTGCAAACATAACTGATGTAATTAAGCTGTGATAATCGGTTCTATATCTACATCTAGATAGATGTTCTGGATCACAGGTTGTACAAATGTTCCCACTTTAAAAAAGCATTTTCAGGGCAGCCCTTTTGGTTTATTTAGAGACATTCATGAGCCAACCAGTTAGACCAGCGTCAACACACCACAGCAGCGTCATTCTATAAATCATTATCTATTAAAGACGCTGTAAAACATACAACAACTTCAGTTTGATTCCAATCCAGGGCTCAGAAATAAACAATGCAGAGCTGCAGCTCATAACAACCCAGCATGGCTGCTTTCTCGGTCAGCATGTGTATGGAGTCAGTTTTAATCCAATATTGTTGCAACAAAGAACACTTTTTTTCTTATAGATTTTAGATTCCAAAATAGTAAAAAAAAAAACAATCCACTGGACTTTGTTTCCAAGTTTGAAGACGTTTCTCTTCCATCCAGGAACCTTTAATTAAAAATGTCAGAAATAGCGTTTAGTTCCAGGTTTTATCCAGCAGCCGAACAAAGAATTGGTTTTAGTTTAGAAATCATGCAAATAGAAACGGATGAACGGGTCCCCCCCTTTGGAATGGAGGTCGTTTGGCTTCTTTGTTAGCCTGCAATGCCCCATACCTGTCTCTGTCTCTGAAAGGGGGTCGTTAAAGGGAATTGTTGTCCTGGCTGAATAGGTGAGGTCTTCTGTTCTCCTGTAAAGGGGTTTGAGCTGCGATGATAGCGGGAAGGAAACAACTCTATTGCTGCACTGTAGGTTTTTGAAAGCTTAAATCTGACTCCACCACCTGTGTTTAAGGTTGGTTTTTCTTTAACATCAATAGCTTCCTTCACGCCCCTCTCAAACCACCTGTCTTCTTTGTCCAAAAGAACATTCTGGTCCTCCAAAGAATGTCCTTTGTTCATAAGGTGTAGAAGGACAGCTGAGTCGCTGTTCTGTGTTGGGCCATGCGTTTATGGAGAGGATGTTTGGTTTCTGATAGACAGGTATGGGGCATTACAGGCTAACAAAGTTAGTTTCAATTTGCATGTTTTCTAAACAAAAACCAGACTTTGTTGGGCTGCTGGATAAAACCTGGAACTCAACGCTATTTCTGACATTTTGAATTAAAAAATCTTCCTGGGTGGAAGAGAAACGTCTTCAAACGTGGAAACAAAGTCCAGTGGATTGTTTTTTTATTTACTTTTTTTGAATGACCATGACCTGGATGACTAAGAATCTTCACCAGCATACAGATTTTATACTTTCATTTTTTTTTTATCCAAATTTCTGTTTTTCAGAAAAAAAAAAAATACAAATTGCATTTTACAGAACACATTTTCTTCCCTTTATGGGGGGCTTTCCTCTCAATTCAGCATTTCTATTGGCCAGCTTGCTATATTTTTATTGGTCAATGTCAAAAGTACGGTGGCTGGGAAGTGCAAACCAACTACACAAAATCTGAAACACTTTTACAAATCTTGAAACAAACTTATATTTCAGAAAACAAATTTACAACAAAATTCAGCTTGAAGTGAAAATAAAAATTCAAAATATTTCTTTAAAAAAGTATACAATTTTCAAATAAAAGCAAAAAAAAATCTGAGAAAACATTACAATCTTTTTTTTTTATTTAAAAGTTGTACAAAGTTTTAATTCTGGGTTTCATTTCCTTTGAATATTAATCTACAAAACAGAAAACAATGCATTTTAAACAGAGCAGCATAAAACAACTGAGCATCAATAAAAAAGGAAAACTTTGAAAAACATTTTTTTTTCAAAAATGAGTGAAAGTAACAGATGTTTTCCGAGATTTTATTATTTCAAATAATTCCACTGAATGTTATTTTTTTGTTGTTTTATTCTCTAAGTTTTTTTATACATCAAAAGAGTTATTTTTAATCAATTATACAGATATATATTTTTCATATTTATATTTGCCTTGAAATTAATTTCAAAATTCTAAATCTGAAATCTTTAAAAAAAAATGTATATTTCTTTCAAATAAAATCAAACAATGTCTTAGAAAAAAGCAAAGTTACTCTTAAAATCTTTTTTTTTTTTATTCTGGCTGCTCAGAAAATGCATTTTAAACAAATCACAATAAAACAACTGAGTATCAATGAAAAAAGAAAGTGAAAAATAAGAAAAATACCAATAAACGATCTTTACAGACGCTACTTTGTTCATACTGGAAGGTCCTCACACTTTAAGAACCTATGATGGTTTGATAAAGAAAACACCGGACAGCATATCAGTCATTCTTTAAAACAAAGAGGAGTTGAGGATTTCCATTCCCTCAGAATAACCTGTTTAGTGAGCAGCAAAGCAAACATAAGCGCTGCAGGAGAGACGTGGGCAGAGTGAGGGGAAAATGTAGAGAAAAAGATCCAATGGTTTCCATTTGTCACATACTGGTTTGGGAGACGTGCAGCTAATGAATAACTCTAAAAGGAATAAGTCTCCATGCCTCTTTAGAAGGTGGGGTCCAAATAAATAACAGCACAAAGTGAGCAAAGAACATTTCAGCTGTTTAAAAGCTCAGATTTAAATGTTCTAAATATTGAGTGGTGCTGAAAGGAGGAGGCGAAGTTCTGAAAAATGGAGGAAAAGATGGAAAAACCAGGGAGACTCAAAACAGTCTGTCTGCTTTAGAAGGATTTATTTTTTCCTTGAAATGATCCTTCAGTTAGTTAAAAGGTAAAGAGAGAAAACAGCATCAGCTGCAGAGGAACTAGTAACTGTTAATTCAGTCGTCTTTGTGTCAGTAGTTACGGCTGGCTGTTGGTTATGTGAAGCAAAAATGAAAATTAATTTCTGGGAAACACTCCGATCTTAATAAAGCAGAAAATCTAAAACCTCCTCCTGGTTCTGAGGCTTTTATAGAAAGAAATGGCTTTGGAATAATAGAGGAATAAATCTCCAGCAGGCCGTTTTCCTGCAGAGGAATGAATGTTGTTTGTAATCATTAATCCTTCTTGGAGCAACGCCGCCCTCCGTTTACCGCACACTGCCTGAGGGTTTCCCTCTGCCTACTGGAAAGAAAAGAACAAGACAAGCAGGAATGAAAAGTACTGCTAAAAAAAGAAAGTGGAGAAACCTGAATATTTCCACCAAGACGTAAAACTTGGACTTTTTATCTTATCAGTCTCTGAGCTCAGCTGTGTTGCATCACTTTGTTTTTACATTCTACTTTGGTTTCTGTTTTATCAGCTAATCAGTTTTTACACGCCAGCTGGGTTCCCATTGACCATCAAAATGCTCAACAATAACATGTTCTTGATGGAAACATTAATTAACTTGGTGCATTTCACAGATCAGTAAAAAAAAGAAAAAGACAAAAAATGTATTTGTATCACATGATCAAATGTTGTTTGGCAGGAGGCGCACCTCTGGAAAAACATTAAATTAAAAACCGTTCATAAATGTTCAATTTATTTCCAATACAGAAGCAGAAAGACTCTCCTACAAACAT